ACGGGAGGGAAAGGTTAGGGCGAAAAATGCTATCGGAGAGAGAAAGGGAGAGTCTCTGGCAAGGAGAGTATTTTTAGCGAAGGTGGGTGGCCCGGACAGGGTCTGGTCTTTCAGACACCCCGTTACCGAGGAATATTCCCCGAAGTAAACCAATTTCTCCAGGATTTATCGGACCGGCGGATCAGAGATCGAGGGAGGTCCTTCCGAGACTTTGCGAGGGTTCCGGATAAAAAATTAACTGCCACGTATCACCGGAAGTCCGCAAAATTGCGGACAGTCTTTCTCCGGGTATCTTTCCGACTAATCATTCCTGCCGACTTCTCGATAACAAGGAGATAACAATTATTTTCCCCCTACATCGTTAATAATTTCCCAAAACGATTTCCGAAATAAAATCGGGATTTCTGATTTAATTTTTTTCTCTCCCCCGGAGGAGCGAGAATGATTTAATTGCTATCGATGAAAAGTCCACCGGTACCTTTCATTAAATTTTTTTATTTGAGAAATAGACTTTTCATTCGATCTCTTTTATGCCTCTCCATGTAATGACATCGTCGATCCACCTGTGTAAACGAGATCAGATTTTTTCTCTCCTCTCGACTTTTTTCTTCAGGACAAACAGAGAGCGAATCTCTGGAGGAAGCTCTGCCGGATGTTAGTTTCCCCGGAAGACCCTGACATAAGCGTCGGAAAGTCTCGGATTTCCCTTAAAGAAGCAGGAGCGTCTCCGTCGCGGTTCCGAAGCATCCTCCAGGACGCTCGGCAATCCCGCGAATGCGCGATCATTATTTCCCAGGGTGGCGGGTGGCCCGGCGAAAAAAGCAGAAGGAGAAGAAGAAAAAGAAAAAAAAAAAAGAAACACAATGGGGCATGCAGATCGGTTAAAATATGCAGCCCCAGGGCGGGGGTGCACGCGTCCGCCTCTCGTGTACACGCAAGGGTGGAGGATATGTCACGCCGAGAGGTGACGAGGGGGCGGAATGCGTGGAGAGACGACGCCCGATGACGGGCTGCACCCTGGACCGGAAAAAGTAGTCGGGAAATAGGCGGGAAAATGGATAGGACTACCGAAGGGGAGAATAACTTTGCAACTATCACTTTTCCGATCATCGATCACGGCCCGAACGGCATCCGTTGCATGAATTGCAGCGGAGGGAGGGACGCGAAGTGGCCATAAAAAACCCTCTCGGCACCGCTGCAGAGCCGAACCAGGGTGCCGGTGCATCCAGAGGGTGCACCCGGGGCATCTGCTTAGCGAATTGCGAGAAATAATGACGTTTACGGAGTGGGGCGAGGTGGCGGCTACGAGACCGGAGTGGATGCAGCGCGTTGCAGCGCGATGCAGGGGGTGCATTGTGCACGGGAGATCGTAGGAAACAAACGGGTAGGTCGGGTCGCGACAATGGGGCGCATCTGCTTAGCAAATTGCGAAAAATAATCACGTTTACCGATCCGTCGAGGCCGGCGTGGGCATTGCCGCGTAACACAATAAACGCGACGCCCCCGCCCCCCCCCTGCAGGGTTGACAATGAAAAGATAAACACCGGAGGCTGGGGGGAAATAAAGACGAAAATGGAGAGAGAGGGACGGAGAGACGAGGGAACAATGCGCGTACAGGGATGTACGCATGTTTACGCCCTGGATGGTGCATCCCCCCGAAGGGGGTGCGGAGGTTTCTTCATCGTCTCGCCCGAGTCCGACGCGACGTCAATGGAGAACGTCATCAGCCCCGGAACCCCTTTCGGAATTCGTCCTGGACGGGTCTTTAGTCGCAGCCCCAACCCCCGAGACGTTTAATGTCCTCCCGGCGAGGCTTCATCCCCCCAGGGGGTCGGGGTGCCTCTGAAAAGGAGCGTCGATCCCCGACCCGATCCTTCGAAGGCCGGAAGGACGCGCGCCGCATCGGTCCAGGAAGCAAATTTCCGCCGGGAATCCGGGGACTCGTTTTAAATGTCAATTGGAAAAGGGATGTTTAAATGTATGGAATGGAGGTTTCAAACATTGGAAACGTCGTCTAGAGAAAATCCATCACTCGCCTCTGGAGATGACGACGACCACTCGAGGATTCCGCCACGTGGGCGACGTTCTTCGTCTTTTTCTTCCTCTTCTCTTTCACGGGTCATCGTTTCTCCGACTGTGATCTTGGTATTTCGGCCGCTTTTTCTTCCGCCTCGGAGAAGCGACTACAAGACTCCACTGTCGCCGACTAATTCGTCATCCTCTTCGTCATCCTCTTCGGGGCAGGGGTGCCTGCTCTCGGCAGTAGGTTAGAAATGCGATGCTCCTGAAAATGAATTACCGATAAATATCATTCTCTGGTATATCGAAAAACCGTAGCTTTTTGTCTTTGCTTTGTGAGGGGTGCAGGGTGACACCGCGTTTGATTAATTAGGGCTTTATTTAGCGAAAGAATTTCGTGCACCGCCACTCGATGGCGCACTCGTCGCCGATTTAATTCTACAACGACTTACAGCTTCCCCAATCGAAATTAACTCTCCTCGGCCGAGGAGGACACTGTATTCTTCAAGAGACAATTTTAAACGGAATTAATAAATCTCTTCAATTTTCGTCCCACGTGTCGAGGCTCATGTCTAGGCACGACAAATTGCTCTTCCATCCGGCACGTTTACGAGCGTGGATTTGTCGATTTTCCTTGGAATCTTTGCGTTAGACTTTTACCTTTTCTTCTTCTCTTTAGGAAACATATTGTCGAAGGTTGCGGTTCCGCGGCGGTGGCCGGCGTTTACGTCGGCGTTTCCGCCGCGGCGGACATCGGGAGCTGAAAGGACTTCTCGGTAGGCTGCCCTGGAGGACGCAAAAATAGGCACCACTGGCTACCCCTTTCTCGAATGCACTTAACGTGCACCGAATGTCCCCGGAAACCCCCGCCGAGGGTGGCGGGGCCCACTTCTTCCACCAGGAACCCGAAGAGGGGGCTGCATTCCTCCGGAATGGAGCCTCTGAGAGTCCCGGCCCGACTGCGGCTTACGGTTCTTGATTTTTTGATACGATCGTGCTCCTTTTTCGCCCGCGACGCGATTAGTGGTCCTATTTCCCGAGCCCTTTGAAATCATACGCCACCCTTTGTCCCCCAGACATTAGGGGAGCTCGCAGTTTTTAACGTCTGATGTTTCGACTCTGAATTGGACCCCTAAACCGTACGAGAGGCCTCGCTTTCTTCCCTCAGTTTAAGCTTAGCCAAGCCCTCGACTTTTTTTGGGAATTATTTCCATTACTCCCCCCGCGATATTCTGCCATTTTGACCGAAGAGAAATATCAATGGGACATTTTTTCATTCAATTTTATTTCAATTTCCCGAGATCGTGAAATCCTGCATTAATTGATAATGCATCAGTTTTATGAAACGTGACTTTGACGGATCTTTAAAAAATTCACCTTCCCTTGGTTTAGGCTTAGCCAGGCCCTCGACTTTTTTTGGGGAATTATGTCCATTACTCCCCCCGCGATATTCAGCCATTCTGACCGAAGAGAAAAATCAATGGGACATTTTTTCATTCATTTTTAATTTAATTTCCCGAAATCGTGAAATCCTGCATTATTTAAAAATGCACCATTTTTATGGAACGTGACTTTGTCGGATCTTTAAAAAATTCACCTTCCCTCGGTTTAGGCTTAGCCATGCCCTTAACTTTTTTTTGGGAATTATTTCCATTACTCCCCCCGCGATATTCTACCATTTTGACCGAAAAGAAAAATCAATGAGACATTTTTTCATTCAATTTTATTTCAATTTCCCGAGATCGTGAAATCCTGCATTAATTGAAAATGCATCATTTTTATCGAAAGTGACTTTGTCGGATCTTTAAAAAATTCACCTTCCCTCGGTTTAGGCTTAGGCAGGCCCTCGACTTTTTTTTTTAGAATTATTTCCATTACTCCCCCCGCGATATTCTGCCATTTTGACCGAAGAGAAAAATCAATGGGACATTTTTTCATTCAATTTTATTTCAATTTCCCGAGATCGTGAAATTCTGCATTATTTAAAAATGCATCATTTTGATCGAAAGTGACTTTGTCGGATCTTTAAAAAATTCACCTTTCCCTGGATTTTAAATCGTTAGGTGTAACTTCTTTAGATCCGCAAACTCGGGAATAGTTATTAAAATTGAGTAATTCAACAGGGCTAAAACGAAGCCCTAATTAATCTGGGAAAAATTGCAATCCTTCGTTTAGTTTTCGTCGGTTAGGTTAGTCCTTCCGCAGGAAGGCATCCGGTCGTTCCAGATCAGCGGAACGCGCGCGATTCGCATCAGGAAAAAAAAGGGGAGAGATCGAGGCCGAAGAGAGAAAGAGGAAGAGAGATACGGAGTCACTTTGGCAGAGCCCTGGTTCTCTGAAAGAGCTCATTGAAGCCGGCCCGGCTGGGCGTACTCTAATATGCGGATGATTAATTGAAAATTCCGCGGCGCAAATGCCGTGCACCGCACACACTTTGTATTAGGCTAAATTAAAGGCACGCGTTTAATTGCAAGAACCAGCCTGGCCGATGCGTGGCCTTTGTGAAGGGGCATTTTTCCCCGATCCAGAATCGGGGGTAAAACTTCCCCAGGATAAAGACCAGCCGGCTGACGGATCTATTTATTTAAACTCCACCTTCGTTCCCTGCCCCCTTCGCTTGCCCTTTATTCTTTATTGACCTTAACCCTAGCGTTAAATGATCCCTCGTTCCCGGCGCCGAACAATCCAGCCCGGCGCGGCGAAAGGGGACCGGGTTTTCCGGGAAAACGGTGAGAGACGTGGGAAAATGCTTCCTACGAAAGTTCTTCGCCGCAATGTGCCGAGTAATTGTTGGTATGAGCGTTTTTCTGTGCGGCGGACGGTTTCGCGGGAAATCCCCGTTTTGTCTGGAAGTACCTCCGGTGGGGTATCGGGTGGTATCTCTTAAATTGCGGAGGGTGCGTTAATGGGCCAGGGGTTTAGCCCCGGTTACGGTGATTTCTCACGAGATCCTTAATTTTCCTTTGTTCCAGAGCCCGATTATGGACGTACGCACGGAAAGGCCGAGAACGGCCGGCAGAATCGCGCCGACCGGAAGGGTGACGCCGACCGTTAACCAAAATGGCGGCGGCAGAAGAAAGGCCATCCCGGTCCCGCCGCCGAGGGTGCCGACTCCGATGCCGGTGGCGAACAACAACCAGCAAAGGTAAAATCTTTTACGGTGAAGTGAAACCCCTCTCGAATAAGTCGATTAGAAAAAGACACTTTTTTCTTCTCAAGGGTATTGGATAGAACTGTCATATTTCGATCGATATCCAATTATTGAAGGCTCTGATATCAGAAACAAAAGTGCCAGGACAATTGTACGACAACTTAGAACACTCTGGTAATCGATAAACTCGCATTTGAACGGCATAAAAGCAAAAGAAGTGTCATACGCATCTATGCTAAGACGATGGGAATACGAAGCCTCGGAGTGAAAATTTAGTTGACGCGGAAATCAGAGATGGCGCAGGGAGTCACTCTGCAGTCAACGAGGGCCTCGGAAATCATGGATTCAGGGGATTTCTGGAGTTTTACTTGGATTTAATTATAATTACTGTACAAAACCGACAGATCGAGTATGCCATTTAGTGCAATAGTCAATATAATTCGACACTGCTGTCAAAATAAACGCCAAAGTCGGCAACGTAGGTACTTGGAAAACCTTTTTCACCCACGTCGATCAAGTTCCTCGACGTGTTTCACTCCACCTTAACGTCTTCCCTTGGTCCTCGGCTCTCCGGACGTCTTTCCGAAGGCAATCCAAGCGTTGTAAAATCGGAAGGACATTTTAAATAAATTTTCTTCGACATTTCCGAGACCTTAATCGCGTGAATTCGGTCGGTCAAATCCCATCCCGGGCAAAGGGTCTCTTGGCAGAATAATTAGTCCGGCAAAGCGGAGGCGTTTGTTCCGTCCTCCGGGTTCTCCAAGAGTCACGGCCACAGTCGAGAGTTTGGTTCGAGGGTGTTCCGGACTTTAAGGCAAATTCCGAGCTTCCGGTTTTGAGACCCAGAGGGAGGTTAAGTCCGCTGGATTAGTTTTGGCCCGAGTGATTAAAGTTCCCGGGGTGTACCTCGGGATCGGTCACTTGGCTTGGCCAAGGGGAGGTCGTTTGGGGCCGTTTCCCTCGGTTTTGGACACCTTGGGTGGAGTCCTTTAGGTGCGGGATCCTCCAGGAAGACCTTCCCCTCGGTGGCTCCCGACTCCCCAACTCCTGGCTAACTTTGTCACTTCTACGCAGGGTTGGGTTAAGTATAATACGTCATGTAGTACACGTGCTTTTCTACGTATATATTACAACGTGTAATACGTCTCTAGTACGTCATGTAGTACACGTGCTTTTCTACGTGTATATTACAACGTGTAATACGTCTTTAGTTTTCTACGTGAGCGTAATGTATATTACGCCCTTCTAGTTCTAAACATAAAATAATACATTTTATGTTTGAATTTTAAATAAATAAAAAATAAATAAAAAAAATGACTTTTAAACACAACTGACAGATTAATCTTTGTCCCTTATCAATTTCTACATACTCACATGTGCGCCAAAAAACATTAACTTTGCGAATTCATTTATCATGTATCTGTGGAATCGGCCATATTGAAAACGTAAAATTCTAAACAATTTGCAATACAAGGGCCAAATTAATTCATTGCTCCTTGAAATATTTCCGTGTTTACATGTGTGTTAAAAGACGTTTTTAACTTAGTCGATGCTGTATATTGTCCATCTACGGCATTCTTAATATTCGAAACGGTAATTCACTGATTTTTCTAGGATTTTCTATGGTAAACCACTTTGTTTACGTAATATACGTGAAAAACCTCGAAAAAAATTGGAAATCACCAAATCTGTTCCTACGTTCGTTGATGTTAGTAGACCTTCGGTTCACTTTCAACATGTGGAATTCAGTGGAGTTCGAGTCTCGGCTAAAGTAGAATTTTCTCTTTTTTTTTTTTAATAGATCATTGTTTAATTTTCGAGGGAATCACGATTGAATAAGTGACCCGAGGGAGGCGGGAAAGTCCGGAAAAAAATTGTCGAGCTCTACTCTCGTCATGGTAGCTCTGGGGACTTTGTTTTTCCGCTTTTTCCACGAGCTTTCCGGGTCAGGCGTTGATAGAGCAAACGGCAGGGGATTTGTCCCGACAAACGAGGGGGAAATCTCTCGCGGATTTTCGGCACCGCCAGACTGGGGAAATTCGGACGAAGTGTGCCAGATTTTAAATCTCGTTCCTCACCTAGGCCGCAGGAATGATAAAAGTGCGAAAGAACGGCCGGGTCGTGACTTTACGAAAGGGAGAAAGAGAGAGAAAAAGAGCGGGGAGGGAGGGAGCCTCGGGCTCTACGTCGCTTTTCGGGAATAAATTTGCCATGAAATTCTATTCTATATATATATATATATAATATATTCTATATATATGTTACGGTGAAACACCGAAATCTGGAGAATGTCGACTTTCACCGGTGAATGTCAGCATTCACATAGTCGCTTAGTGTATGTCCGAAATATTTGCTAAATACCCTTATTTCTACATATATTACTATATATGTAGATAACATATATAATGCGTTAAAATATTTCCAAAATTTTTTTTTAAATTGGGCGCACCGGATAATTTGGGACTTTAACACGTGATTATGGAGACCCTAAGGAAAAACCCGGGGCTCGTGAAATTTCATCTTTCACAAAATAATCTGATTTTGGTTTCCCGAAGTGAGACTAGAAATGACGAATGTAACGTGATTTTTAAAAATCACCCTAATTATTACTTTCGCTTTGAAATTAATTTCACTCCTATTTGTGTATAAATAATGGCGTCCGTTCGAGGTGGGAAAGTCTCGCCTCTTTTCCTTCGAAGTCCTGCTAAAAGTGTTGGTCGCCTTTTTCCTCTATTAACGTGTACGTCGGAGCAACAATGAAAAATGTGCATGAAATCGCCGGTGCGGATTTACATACATGCCAAACTGTGTTGGATCGGTGTAATTAACACTAAATGGCGTCAAAGCAATGCCATTAACACGATTTGGTATGCATGGAGGTTCACAGGGACGATTCTTTTGCAGTGTTCGCTGTCCATGGCGGACTTCAAAGCCGCGACTTTGCGCAAAGTCCTTTGCGTTTCCCCCGCAAACCGTCATCGCGACTTTCCGGAATCCTCGTCATTTAGATTTTCTAACGAATCCCGCCGGAATGTTAATCATTTTCTCGGTGAATGAAATTTTTTCGCGAGGTCGTCGGATAAAAATTAAATTTCGCGAGAAAGCTCTCCCTCTCTCTTAACAATATTTCTGATGACAATAATCGAGGGAAAAATTTTTCGGCAATATTTCGCGACGTCGAATGTTTTTATTATGTTTTTAAATTAATCGACAGGCGTTTGAAATAATTCCGACTAATGAGTTTCGCCCGGCTGTAAAATAAGTCCCGAAAATATCGGCGCAAAACCAATTAGGTATGCTCAAAAGTTGTAGCCGGAAGTCGTCATTGATTTAATAACCCTGAGCTTAATTCTTGACGATCGAAAATGCCTCGAGGGGCCCCCTGGCCAATTTGGGTTTTTAACGAGGTCCTCCTCGTGGCAGACAATCCTCGACAACAGTTCACGAAGACCGCAGAAATTCCACCGAAATCGTCGCTCTATTCCAATTTCAAATATTCCTCTCGCCGACACTTCCGGTCTTTAATTCCCGCCGAGAAATTATTTCAAGACTCGCGCCCGCTAAGAAACCAAAAATTTTATTCCGCACTTTTACTCCACTCTTTGGGATTATTTTCGGGGAATAAAAAAAAAAGTAAAAGTCGAGAGGAAAAAGAATCTAACTAAGCCAATTTTCGGCTTGCGAGGGAAATCGTCTTGATTTTCATTTCCGCCCACTTGGTGGGGTTTGAAGGGCGGGAAAAGGCGCGGAAATAAAATCTAAATATCCCGGGGGAGAAAAAGGGAAAAATTTCTGCCGAGGCCCGGTGCTAGGATTTCCTCGAAGCCCGTTATTACTGCTTTTGCGGTACTTGAAGGAGCCGTACGTTCCCGTTACTAATCCGGAAGTCGAGGGGCGTCGTACCGAATGCGTCGGCGGGTGCACATACATCTACGTACTCATACGTGCACACATGGACGCGTGCATGTGCACGTGGACAAAAGCGTACGCGCACGTCGAGAAAGGCTCATCTACACCCAAAGACAAACTTTTACGTATGCTATTAAAAAAAGAAGAAAAGAAAATAGCCGTAATAAATTCGTCAAATTATTCCTAGTTATTTAGCCCTTTAAACACGGAGCCATTTCGACATAGGGGCGAAATTCGTCTGACCGTGCAGGCAATATTGGACCAAACGGCGGGCGGTTAAAATATTTTCTCGGACTTTTCTCTCCGGGATATGTTTCTTAAGTACTTCCGCGTTAACGATAATTCCCGCGTATTGAATTTCGACACTTAGTTCTCTTTTTTTTTTCTCCTCCCGGGTAATATCGAATGAATATTACATAAACCGCGGAGGAAGTTGAGCTCTCCGAGGCGGACATTTCCGGCGAAGCGAGACGTTAATAATGTCTGTTAACCGAAAATACACGAAGCTCATTGTGCTCGAATCAGTTAAACGGCATAATTGCGGCTTTCAAATGGACCTTTTCACTGGATCTCCTCAATCATGCCGTACCAATACCACGTGCCGTGGTCGGTTACAATGGGATCTGGTCAGGGGACTAATCATATTTTAAACAAATCAACAATCGCCGAATCCGCCTACCGGACCTTTTCACGTACACGCCATTTGCGACCGACCATTCGCAGCCGATATATTATTCATAATAATTGCATAATCCGCATCCGACCCGCGCATGGAACGCATCTCTGTCCATTCGCGACCACAATCCATGTAATACCTGCTTGGATTTATATACCAGATATATTTCATAATTACGTCGTTGATTTTTTTCCCCCTTGAAATGCAACATCGTCCACGGGAGATTATTTCCTAAAATTACAAATCTTATGAATCTTAAGGGTCAATTGTTCATGAAACTTATCTCCGAATTAAGCGTAGCAATTTCTTTCAATCTTTACCACACGAATAAGGAGAGCCGAAGGTAGGTCATGAGACTCGCGAAATTAAATTTTTTTATTAAAATTGTTGAAAGGGACTATAAACGAAT